AATTGAAAGAATTAGGAATGGACAATCTTATATCACGATGTGAATGGGGAAACATCTCTCCATTCACATGTACATGGTTTATTCGGAAGAATTCGAATCGCAGTAGCTAATAAAACATCACGAGAACATAAGAAACGAGCATGTGTACCAACTCTTGGCATGCCTTGCTTGTTAAATAATACCATTTGCATTGGTACTCTTGCAGTGTGCTATGTACAGCGTCAGTTCAAAATGTTTAAAACAATTGATCTGCCCACCAACTGTGAAATACAGTCAGTGATTCAATTTTTGACAGCAAGGAACATTTTAGCAGCAGAAATTCATTGACAAATATGCAAAGTGTAAGGCCCAAGGCAATGAGTTACAGCAAAGTGTGTAAGTGGGTGAGAGCATTAAAAAACGGATGGGAAAATGTCCATGATGAACTGCGATCAGGCCAACCATCAGTGAACACAGAAAAATTGGTCAATGCCATAGATGAAAAGACTCGTGAGAACTGGAGATTCACAATTTCGATTTTAACACTGGATTTCCAAATGTGGGTAGGATAACTGCACAAAATTGTCTCTGAAAAATTGGAATTTCACAAATTGTGCACACATGAAAAGAATGGCTTATGCTCTTGATTTTTTGAACCTATATCATAAGAAAAGTGATTATTTTTAGAGAGGTTTGTTAAAGAGGACAAGACTAAGGTTTCTCACATGACCACAGAGTCTGAACGCCAGTCAATGGAATGGTGTCACACGGCATCACCAGTCAAAGTGAAGGCTAAGCAGACAATTTCATCATGTAAGTTTATGTCAATCATGTTTGGAGGTGGATATGGAGTCTTGTTAATCGAATTTATGCAGCCACTTAATGCGCTACTCTGACTAAACTTAGACAAATGATACAGAATAAACGACGTGGCCTTCTGACATCTGGAGTTTTGTTGCTGCATGGACAATGCCAGACCCCATTCCACTATTCACACCCAAAATCCAATAAGATCTTTCAGATGGAAACAGATTAACCACCCATTGTACAGTCTAGACTTGGCACAGAGTGAATTTTCACTTGTTCCACTATCTAAAGCAGTTTCTCAGTGGTAAGTGCTTCACCACAGATGACAAGCTGAAAGAAGCAGTTCAAGATTAGTTATCCTCATACCTAGCAGACATTTATGACTTAGGCATACAAAAGCTTGTAGAACATTATGAGAAATGTTTAAACAAATATGGAAACTATGTAGAAAAATAAGTAAATAAAACTGTTTTTTGAAAAAATCTGATAGTTTACGTTTTATAAGAAATCGGACCTTAGTTTCCAAATAACCTACATATATCACAATACAAATAGCAATATATACGTATTAAAAAACTAATAATTTTTCTTAAAATTTTAATAGCAGAGTTTTTAATGCATATACTAGTCTAATAACAAAAATTACAAGGACTAAAATTTTCAAAATGTGTTATTACGAGTAAGCAACATAAGATAAAGTACTGTCAGCCATGATGAAGTAAAATACATAAAATAAGTTGTGTAAAACTCAACACAAAAAAGAAAGAAAAAAGCTATTTTGAAAGATTTAAAAATCTTTAATTCTACTAGTTTCATAAATAACACATTTTCTAAATTCATTGTAAAATCACAAACTGTTGGTGCAAGGAAATGCATTGATATTTTATAATAACTGAACAAATTTAAGCTCATATAAGTGATTGTATACACGTTATTACATGATACAGCCAGATTATACAAGTGCTCTTAAAGTTAACTATGCAGTATAAAATGAAAACTTTTTTTAAAACAAAAAAGTAATTCTTGTGAAATATATAATCTTAACAAGGATTATTTACACCATTTTTCTCCTCCTTTCTTCTTTTTGAAATTAAATTACATCAGATATACAAATTTGTTGTGTAAAGTTAAATATATACATACACACTGCTCGACATTAAAAATGCAACACCAAGGATTGGTCAGAGATTTATGATGCAGAGATTTATTGGTCAGAGATTTATGACGCAAATTTTAGAGTAGACGCATGTCACTGAAATATGCGGATGATGTGAAATGCGCAGCTCTCCGACACACGTGAAGTAAGATATAAGGGAAGGAACGTGCAGAATGGGCAATATTCTGTCGTATTTCTGCCAGACGATTATCGAAGAAAGTTGTTTTTGTCCGGATAGTGTAATAGGAGAGAATGCCAGGCACCGCAACGAAGGCATTCCAGCAGAAGACGATTTACGAGGGTATGGTATCGGACTGAGAAGGGCGGGTTGGTCCTTACGTCAAATCGCAGCTGATACCCACATGTAAGCGAGCATGGTGCATCGGCTATGGCAAACATGGTTGGAACAAGGAAATGTGGAAAGAAGGAGATGTGAAAGTGCAGACAGAGTGACATCAGCACGCGTGGATCAATGCATCCGCCGACTAGCAGTGGCAGTTCCGCAAGTCACTTGTACCGCGATTCTGCAGCATGTGCAAGATACCCTGGATGTTCCCGTGTCAACCAAAACCAGTACTCACATCAGTATCTCTGCAAGGTATACAGATGCTTCCTTGGCCACCGTACTCTCCTGACCTGTCACCAATCGAACATGTGTGGGATGTGATTGGACGCCGTTTGCAGACTCTGTCCCTGCCTCGTTCAGAAGACGAACTGTGGCAAATGGTGAGAAATGGGAGCCATCTTTAGCACCATCCACTCTCTTCTTGACTCTATGCCTAGACGTGTTTCTTCGGGCATCGTGTCTGCGGTTGTCCTAATCCTACTGAGCTGAGCCATTCTCGCTCTGTATTCTGACTATCATTTTGAAATAAAGATCACTTCGCTTCTCTCTGTCTTTCTTCTAAATTTCATCACTTTCTGACCACTCCTTCTTGGTGTTGCATTTTCAATGTCAAGCAACGTATAAATTAAATACTAAAGTACATATATATATACTAAGAATAAAAAAATGAAGGTACTTTCTGATTATCCAACCAACCTTAAAGAATTCAGCAGCCATTTGTGCTCGCTATGTTGCCAGAATAGGCAATCCATAATGTCGGTAAAATATATTTATATGGCAACCCAGGCAAGCATGCACATGCAGCAAATGAGCAGTGGTTTCAACCTTTGTTTTTATTGTACAGAGTGCATTTTTTACTTGTAAAGAATCATAATGAAACTGTACAGTTTGCTGGCTAATAAAAAATAAAGCATTGTATTTTTTTTTAAATATGGCATTTCACAATCCAGTTAGAGAATGCATGTATTTGTACTTCATAAACAAATCGATTTTATAAATCCAAATTATTATTTTTTCTTTCTTTTCCTCTTCTTTTAAATTTATTTTTTATGCAAAAACCGATTGCTGTGTACATGGAGAAAATGATAGCACATGCAATGCCCAGTTGACAGCAATTCTGGAATCCTCTGATTTTTTTAAGCTAAAGCAAATCCTTGTGTACATGGGGAAAAAAACAACCAAAAGAAAAGAAAAAAGAGTAATGATTTATCACGGATGTTTCTTGCATTTTCAGTTTTGTCAACTGGCTGCTAATTTATGTAATTCTTAGTGCACTGCCCTTTTTATAAATGCCTGTTGTCTTTCACGTCTTAGCTCAGCAAAGAATACGGTCACCAACAAATAGTGACTCTTTTTAGGGTTGGGAGGATAGTCATTAGCACTAAAAAAAATTTCTTACCAGAACATTTGTAAAAGATTCATAATTACTTCACAGAATAAATTTTAAATTATAAAACTCCATATAAGGCTCTTTTTATTGGACTAGTGCATGAAAATGCTTCATCATAATACTGCTGGCACAATTTCTATTTTCCATCAAAAACAAGCTGGACTCTAGATTATCCAAAAAAAATTTATGAAGGTTGTTCAGCATAGACCAAGGGCAAAATACCTTTATGTTTGTGCTGCAGCATACAGATGAGGGAACCTATATGAAGGCTTACTATAAACTTAAACATGTTGAGTTAAGAGTAAACTTTCAGAAAGGAAGACTTGATAACATCAATTACTATGGTACTAAATTTATAAATTACTAAAAGATTGCTCTAAAAGTGAATAAAGTATCAAAAATAGAAGCACAAAGGGAGGGGCCAAAGAAATGTTTGAGGGCAGTGCCTATATCTTGCTATAAATGCCCTTTTCTACAATTAGTTTTCATATTATTTTCAGTTGATTTAAATAAAAAATAAGATATATATAAAAAAAAGAAAATTGGAATTTTTTTTAATTGTACATATATTAGAAAATAAGATATAACAATTCATTATTGTTAAAAATGATACATGCAAAAATTAGATAAAATTCTATTTTTTATACAGTCAAAAGTCATTAATTCGGACCTCAAAGCCAAAAACTTTCTGCGCGTGCGCGTAAGAACTTTACGACTGCGCATATGCATGTGTGGAAGTGCAGAATACATTTTTGCATGTGCGTTTAATGTATAACGGACGGTATAAGCTAAAATTATCTAATTATCTATTTCAGTTAATGTTGATGATTGCGTTGTTCCTTAATCTTCGAACTGGATCCGGCCTATTACTTTTTTCAGACTGTAAGAGCAATTTATAAAGTAACTTGAACTTTGATTATGTCAAATAGAAGTTCCGATTCTGGAGCGCCCAAAGGATCTACAAAACGAAAGTATGTTTTGATGTCCATCAACAAAAAGTGGAAATTGCTGCAAAAATGGAAGACATGAAGAAGGTGACAGAGAGAGAGGTTAGTGAAAACGAAAAAATTTCGATCACAACTTAGTCGGTATTCTCGGCACAGCATTACGGGACTTGAACAGCGGAAATTTGTAACTGAACAGAAATTATGTCTGTTTATAGAATTAAAGAGAAAGTATTATCACATAAAATGAGCAACTTAAACAACTTACATTGAAAGAAATGTTTAATAAAGTAACAAATAAATATTAAGCTTTTTTTTTTTTTTTTTTTTTTGTAAATTTTGATACCCTTTAGATCATAATTGTTCTTTATTTCATAAATTATGGTTTCATATTTTAAATTTTAGAATTTCTGGATGCCATCTTACGAGATTTAAACTGATGATCTATAATCCGGAATCGCCGAAGTCCTGATGAGTCCGGATTAACGACTTTTGATTGTACAAAAGAAAACAAGGATAGCTAGAAAAAAGTATTCTTCACAATTATTTTGTCTTAATTTGCTCAAATCAGTTGGGTTCTACTATATATGATTTTCCTTGACAGACACTGCTTAGCAAAAACTTCTAATAGACTTCAGTTAAAATTTTACTTTCAATATCTCTCTATATACACATTAATATGATACATCTGTACATTTCAACATACATACAGATGATATATATACATTATATACATACATTATGTAGGTACGATAAAATATAGATATGAATACAAATATCTAATTTATTGATACATATATGTATGTATTAATAAACCCTTTTACATTAAAATGAATTTGTCCTTGAATTCTTGTTCGTTTACTAAGACATCTAAAAGTACTGGAATGAATGTCATCAAAGTATGCAATGAATAAAGTTCAATATTTAAGAACACTGAAGTGCATTCATATTTCCTTAAATACTGAGAAGCTAAAGGAATTTCCAGTTCATCATTTTGCAGGTATATTAGCCATACTTTTCCTTTTAGCTTTAAAAAGGAAAAAAAAAAAAAAAAAAAGCAATAAATGTCAAAAAATATTTTCATCATTTAAAAAAAAAGCTTTATATATTTTTATTAATAAATGGTGTCTGTAATATTAATTACCTTATGCAAAATGAATAAATATATAAAGGTAAAAATGCCACCATAATAATTGTTCAATTAGACAACATTATTTAACATAACTGTTAAGTAGACTAATAACTCCTATCCTGGGATAAAATAGCTAAATTTGCAGAGAAAAATTTCTAAAGTTTCACACGCTAGGATTTACACAACCAACTGTATGTAATTTATGGTTTAGCAATTACTCTAAAAATTTTGTGATCATACATAATTAATAAACAATAATATGTATTTTTAAAACTGAGACTCATCTTTATAGGCCAAACAAGTTCTAACAATGTTATCAATACTGTTACATAAGATCATGATTTCAACTCTAATTTAAATTTTTTTGTTTCGATAAATTATTCATAAATTTATTTCAATTTTAATGCAATATGGTACTACAAACTTCTTAAATTTAAGAAACAACCTTTTAGCATTGATACCATTTATGGATATTGAAATAGAACAGACAGCAACTCTATGTAGAATAGGAAACTGTTTATGACATATAAAAAATTTAGCAAAATTCCCTTAATATGGCCTTTTTTTTCACACTTGCATGAATGAAATTCCTACACTTGTTGCTCACATCTTTGACAGGAACAAGATGACAGGAAACAAGAATCAAGATTATCTACTTTTCAGATTTTCAAGAAGTTTAGGTTGGCTGATAAGCCCAAAGTTTTTAAAGCCATGTTTAATTTTAAAACAGTAATTCTTAATACTTCCTATAACTCGTGGGCAGAGTTTAATAGATCAGGCTAAAGCTATATAATTTAAAGTTCTAATTTAGACTAAACAGCAGAAAAAAACTGTAGTGAATTTTTTCTTATTATTTAATGTAATAAAACTATTAATAAGAAAAATAATCTCAATTATAACCTTAAAATAACAGGAAAAACACAAAAGAATGTGGACATCACACACAATAATAATAAAAATAAAATAAAAAAATAAACAATTTTAAAACTTAAAAGTATAAAATCTTAAAAAAAAAAAAAAAAAAAAAATCCTATTAAACTTACTGAATTCTTCAAGGAAATTCAAGATACAATAAAATGACTAATTTACCACATGAACAATCAAAATTTACATTTAATTTTATAGCACTTTTATAACAATCAAAGTAAATAATGAATATTAAAATGCATTAACAAAGCTCTAACAAATGAATGTGAAAAAGATAATATTTTACATAAATTCTGATATATTTGTGTAATTAGTAACTGTATCAAATTAGTTAAAAAAGAATGCCTTTTTTACTTCCTTGTACAAAGAAAAGGAAGTAGTAATCGCGAAAGTTTCAAGCATATTCAACGAAATATCCATTTTGAGACCGCTATTGAATGCAATTTAACGATGTTTTTGCGTGATACCTGTACATAGGACAGAAGAAAATACTCTTCCTTCAAAAAAATTATAAAACTGCTTTAAAATAATTCTGAAGAGAATTTTCGTGCGTCTGTACGTACGTATCTCGCATAACTCAAAAACGAGGCCTCAGAACGTTGAAATGTTGTATATGACTGCTATAACATGTAGATGTTGCACCTCTTATTTTGGTACAATCGGCCACACCAAACATATAATATATTATATATATATCCACACTGTTACCCGGCTCAGTGCTCAGTTTCTTTACTCTTATACGTTTGTAAGTTGTGGATTTTTTGCTTTAAAATGATTGAATTTTTTCTTATCTTCCGGGAGGGTTTTATGCCTTTAGTAAATTTGTAGCAATATTTTAGAATTTCAACAATTTTAAAATTGTTTAAGTGCCGCTAAGCCTAATAATGTTTTTGATGGCGGCCATTGCTCTGTTTACAGTTGAAACAGCAGGAGCGGATTGTTGCCAATTGAGAACTTACTTTGCAACAACAAGAAAACACCTTCATTTATTTAAAATGCTTAATCATTTCTGGAATTTTTCAAAAAATACGCGTTTAAGATTTACTTCGTATTTTTAATACAGATATTTTGAGTTTTTATGTATTTTTGCCTGTCGCGAAGTGAAAACTGAATTAATTGATGAGAAATACTCAATCGTCTGTGAAAAATGTTTCTTTTTTTTTTGTTTGCTTAATTCTTTATACATCGTTCTAGCTTTATTAAGTATTTGAATAGAACATGTGGCACAATAGATAATTCTTTAAATGATATAAATTTTGTGCATTCTGAGTTATAATATGAACGAATATATAAGTTAACTGTTATATAATTATTGGATTATAACAGTTTAACTTGTTTCCGTTATATAATTATTATATAAGTTAATGTTATATATTATTATACTGTAGTGAACCTAGCGCCAGAGTGTCGCTATGGAACCAAACTAGAGTTAATTTAAAGAATCATTTATTCTACTGTGGTTTATGCGCTGTCAGCGAAGTAGATTTAATTCAATCCAATAAGTTTAAATGAAATGCAAGAAAAAATGCGTATAATTTAATATTCCGTACAAGGAAGTCATGTGGTGTACACATCAGATTTTTTTTACACAGATTTATATAGGGAATTAAAAAATTTGTTGCATTAAAAAAGTATTCAGAATTATATGTCATTAACTTTTTCATGTTTCTGAATATCAAATTTATTTGAACACTTGTGATAGTATGGCATGTTTATTCTTCCTCGGGGACAGAGTGGCGAATTGTCAACAAAAATTGCTCTAACAATTCTTGCATCACCTTCTGAACTTGTTCCATCAGTGGTATTGTAACTTTGTACAGTCTTTTTTTATGATCGTGAATACATGGAAATAACATAATAATAAGGATGTAGAGAGGATATTCCCATACTTTTCATTTGAGATTTTCATGCTGTTATGCAAAATAAAACATTACATTGTCTTGCAGATACACAGTATCTTTTTTACAGATCACAGTCTTTAATTATCCTTTTCAAGATTTTACAGTATGCTACCAGATTAACTGTAATGCTTTGAGGGATAATTTATACACAATATGATCAGCAAATTTCCAACAGAGGCAGCCAATTGGAACTGTTTCTGGCATGGAGAACAGGAATCTATTTTATTGCTCAAACAAATTTAATTCTAAAGAGAAAAGACAAGCCCAACTATCATCTCTAGTACGATATAGTTCAAAAATTCATTTTCTCTCTATGAAAATGATTAAAAAATATGAGAGCTGCTTCTGTTTATATTGCTTTGTTAATAAATGAGACACTTACAAGAACAAACTCTACGCAGCAAAAATGCGATTTTGCATGAAATGTGAATACTTCCATGCAAAATACCAAAATTATCTGCAGTCTCAATTTACTATGTTCATTTATTAGTAAGAGCTAGTTTTCAAAGTATTCAGTACTGTCATCTGCTGACAAATTTAGCAGAACCTTTCTTCCAGGTGACTGATATTTATGTGCCTACTTTCAATTTTCAAACAATTTTTATAATTAGAATAGCATAGAATTGCATATAAATTTCAGTGCAAGTGCACTTTTTAACCTATTAGAGCCACTTTTTAATCCAAAGGGGCTTTGTACCTGAAGGACTATTGCTTTCGTTTTGTGATTTTGCGTCAATTCACTACAAACTGTTGCCACAAAGTATTATCGCCCTCTGCTATATTTAAAGAAATTAAGTAATGAAAAATCTGCATATATGAATGGATATTTCTCTCACTGTGATAAAACAACGGTACACAGAGCCATTGAATTTTGAATGACGTAATCCTCCTACGAATATGGGCATGTGGAAGACCAAATTTGAAATTCTGAATTTGTTTTATTATCGATTTCCTATTTTGTAAAACTAAAACGATTTTTTGAACAAACTCGGAATTCAAAGCAGCAATGCAATGTGTAGAGAATTTTTTTTTTTTTTTTTTCCTTTCTCCAAGCGTTAGTCTCTGTATTGGAAATTCTAAAGATATCTCATTTAAATTATTTGCGATATTTTGTTGAACTGAATTTTATGGTTTAAGTGCGAAGAACGTGATTTTAATAAATAAATGTAACACACGAAATGTTAAAAACACGGCCCTTTGGACATAATTTAAAATCTGAAACATTTCAGTTTTTTTTTTTTTTTTTTTAATGTACTGAGAATTCCGTCGCAGCCCATGTAACTGATATATCTTTCACAGCTTCCAACACATAAAATATTCTTCTTGTGTCAAAAACATTAACACAATTTCAAAGACATACAACCAATGACATCACTAAATTTCATCAAAATATCTATTACAGATTAAATTTTGAAGCAAATGTAAATTCCTTGATTCTATTTTATAACAGTCTTTGTATCAGAATTTTTTTATGAAAATGTTAACCCAGAATTAAAGAGATTTTCTAATGGAAACAAACTCATATTTTCATTACACACACCAAAAAAAAAAAAAAAAAAAAAAAAAAAAAATATTACAGAAACTAATGCAGCAAGCCCATTTAATTACTGAAAATTATATTTTACATCAGTGTCAATGTTAATAACTTAAATTTAAAATCACTTTTCTTATCAATATTATCAAAAAAGATAAAATTTTAATTCACTTTATTAAATAATACTTAAAGTTGCTTATAAAAATATACTTACGACGAACTAGCTTGACATCTTCAGTGATGGCTACACGTTTTGCAATTAAGTAGAAACACAATGGCACTAAACCTATAACCAAAGCAGTGGTGACATTACCATATCCAATTCTAGTATCAAATTCAACTTTACATTTATACTGGCGACTCCAAAGTTTCTGTGTCATATTCATCTATATCAAAGGTAAAAAAAAAAAAAAAAAAAAAAAAAAAAAAAAAAAAGAGGTTACTCATTCTAAAAAGTTCAGTAAGAAACACAAGCATTTATTGAAATTTTCCATTAATGCTAAGTGCAATTTCTAATTTGGGTAAAAAATTAAATATCTTTCTTAATATTTTTTAATAAAATAATTTGAAGAAGAATAAGTTACCACTGCAGCCCAAAGTAGCCATAACATACATAAATGATATGACTACCTAATGATAGAGATGTTTTTAAGACATTTCAATTACACTTTGGATTTACAATATTTATGAAGATTTGACATCAACAGTATCATGGCTTCCCAATTTCAAATTTTAATATAATTAAATGAAGTTCATAATAACTGAAAAACTTGATGAAAGGGTAAACTGCTATTAAAAGTATAATTATATTTTTTATTCTAGGTATTTTTCTAGGGTATATTTTAATTCTAGGCATGGGAAGTATACTTCCCACAGGACCTTTCATGGTCATAGAGAAAATTCAATTTAAAGGCAATTATTTGCCGTGAAAAGATGAGAAACATATTGCAATGCACAAGGGTACATCACATACTGCACACATATAGCGGGGTCCTCTTTTCTTGGGCCTTTTGCTACATTCCTACATCGTCTATAGTTGGAAACCATTTTTGCATATGATTTCCCACATTGGCTAAGCATTATCATCCGAATGCACACCTTTTTGCTTGGAAGCTAGCAGGACGGCCTTCCTCTTTTGGAGAATAGCCGTCATTTGACGAGCTAATGCTATACGAATGTAAGTGGTCTAAATTCTGCTTCTCTTGTTTACTTGCCACAGTATCAAACTATTACGATGCCAAGATCAATAGAAATCAAAAGACGATCCACCATTCTACAGATCTTCCTCCTATTTGGTATCTTCTTTTCTTTGATCGAAGCAATCAACCCCTCCCATGAATCGTTATATACGGCAACAGCTTTAGGGCAAGGTACTTCTGTTTCAGTACCTTCCTTTTGCGTACGATTTACAGATGTAATAACCTGAATTGTGTGCAGCAGTCAACAATTAACAAGCCTTTTTGTCCATCCACTTTATTGCGCCACACCTCCTTAGTTAGGAAATGATTCCCCCTTTGTAATTTGTTATTAGCCTTCAGCTTGGTGGAAGATCTTTCCTTTGCGGCCACACAGTCTGCACAGAAACAGACCACTTATAAGTAGACTTTTTGCAAGCCTCAAAGATGTCAATAATTATCATAGGCTATAAGATGACCTGCCTGTTTCACATCTTATGTTAGTTCAGTTTGTTTCCCCTAAGCTCCATTTTATCCTTATTATCAGAAGTTCTTTTCCACAATAATTTCAAATTTTTGATATATCCAGTCTTAGAGTCTGCTAAAACCACACCTTGTAACCTCTTTGTATAGGCTTCATGGCATATACTGCTTCAATGAAGTTCTCCCTTTGAAAGCTATCATACATTCATCTATTCATAATGTTGACGAAGGTTCGTAGACTTCAGGTATGGAATCATTCAGCTGTGAGAGGGTTGGTCTGACTTTATAGAGTTTATCATGCCCAAGTTGCCCACATGGATTTGTGCTGTTGTTGTTTACATGTAAAGTCTCAGTTATTTTTTGAACCTCTTTGTGATTATTATTCTTGCTACTGATTGAACGTTGAGAATAAGGTCTGTGCTCCAGTAGTTTTTCAGCTCAGACAACTGATGTATGCCCATGAGTATATGCATACCTTCCCATGCTTTCAATTCTTCTGATGTGATTTCTTTCCAGTTCAGGATAATGTCTTTTGTGGTATGTCTCTTCCTTTTCTTAGCTGCTTTGCATACGAGTTTCATCAACAATATTCTGTAAAATTTCCTCGGTAAAAATCATGCCAAAATAATCCTTTTCTTTCTCAGTAGAATTGAATGATATTTTTCAATGTATTTTCAAAATATTCCATTTTTCCAAACCTATGCACGTGGCTTTTTATACACGATGCAATAGCATTTTCACTTTTCCCATTATCTATTATTCAATATTAGATAGTCACTGCAGAAATATAAAAATAAGAGAAGTTATTATAATAAAAATAGTGTTTTACTTACATTTGTAGTGCAGAATTGTATAGCAATGCAAATGTCAAATCAAAACAGGTTCTCAGTGGAACAGATCTCACACGACGCGTTCGAACTTTCAAAACAATGGGCAATTCTGTTTTCAATCGATTTGAACACAGATGGCAGCACAATACTGAAGTGGGAATTAGAGTTCCCAACGTTATAATACCAAAGCCAATATATTATAATGGGTTTTGCGCTTCCCACAGGTGTATCATGTAGGTGGGAAGTAATCTTCCCACGGCCCACGAAAGGGTTAAAGAAAACAGAATGAAATTTCTGGGAGAAATATTTCAAAATTTACTTATAAACTGTATTGAATTTTGTAGAGTATAAATTTTATTAACTAACAAAACCAAAAATTTAGTAATAACTAAATATTCAGGTAAGAGGTACAAGGCAGTACCTAAATTTGATACAACACAGCTATACTGAATAATACTTTAATGACATTTATACACTTCTCTTTCATCATGTGCACTCCTGCAGCTGAAGAAGGTTTTATATTTCAACCCGCAAAACTAATCCTGCAAATTAATGAATATTATGCTGATTCTTGTTGCCTTAGCATATCCAATAAAAGCTGCAGAAGTTAATAAAAGTTATCAGTCAGATATAATATTATAAATTATGTGTTTTTTAATTTATATAATTTAAATATACAATCAAAAAAATAAAATAAAGTTTTAAAATACATTCTACTCTAGATTAAACAGACATTGTGTAAAAGTTAAGTTTTAAAGGTATTAAAATTTAGGGCAAGAATCAGCACTGCTAATTTTTAGTATTTGTTCTTCAGCAAGTACTTTTTGTTATGAAGGTTAAATACGTTCATTGTGGAATGAAGGGAAAATTAGTCAAATTCATCAGAATAAACAAAACTCCTACAAGAAATATGAAAAGGAGGGGAAAAAGTGCTTAAGATAACAACAGTGGTAGTTAATGAAGTCACATTATTTAGGAATTGCTTTTAAGCATGGCAGTAATCAATTTAATTCTACATAATCAGGAATATGTAAACATTGTTAAATTCTTCAACAAAAATAAACTCCTGGCTAGTAAAAATTAATCAAGTGTTAACAGTAAAAATAAATTAAATTGCTCTGTTTATTAACTAATAATTTAAAAGACAAAAGATCTTACATAACACTGGATGGCAGCACATGGAAAAACTTGTTATTTGCAGGTCATTAGAAAGAGAAATTAAAGATCTTATGCTACCTACAATTGCAACACTTACCAAATCACATGGATGATAAATTCCTGACAGTATAATGCGACATGATAATCTAAAAAGATGTTTCTATGATAAAAAATGTACAGTATTGTATCACCTGAAAAACCTGTAATTATGTTTTAGTTAGAAATCAACTAAAACATAATTTCATTCAAAAGTAAATTATCATGTTTAGTGACAGATTCATACAGGTTTAATTATTTAAAATTTAATCAAATATGCTTTTAACTCTGAAATTAAAAAAAAAAAAAAAAAAAAAATCAAACATACTTAAAATCCCAAACTTAAAAGTAAATTGGACTTAACTTACTTTAATGCAAAACTGAATTGCTCAATTGATGTGATGATAAGTTAAATTTTAAGTAAAATCTTTGTTCGAGAATAAAAGTACTCATGAAACACAAACACTAGGATTTAATGGACTGTAATTTTATTTCTCTTAACTTCTGTTTGAATGGACACTCTTGCCATCGCATAGGGCTGTTATCTAACCACGTTGCTGTTTTCTCTCATCGTGGTTGCCAGATCACTTCTGCCTTAACATACCGCCCGGGTTGGGCATTTGTTACATAGTTAACAATAACCAAAATTAAACAGTTTTAAATCACCATACAGTCCAAATCATATATCACAAAATTTAAATTGATACACATGAACAAAAGCAATAAACATAATTAACCACAGAACATGAAATGCACAACATCTAAATTAAAATACAATGCATATATAACAATTTTTTGAACTCAGGAAATATACATGAAATTATGTAACATCTACTGGTAATAAAGCTAATTTAGTTATTGGTCTTTTTGAAAAACCTGACTTGGTTTTTACAATACAAACTCTAAACCTTTTTATCCTTACCATAAATTACCTCTTCTATTTTTTACCCAGTAACCAAGTCGAAATGGGCATGTTGTCTTCCTTTACTAAAACTATAGTGCCCTTTTTAACGTTATCCTTAGAGAAATACCACTTAAATCGTTGCTGTAAATAACTGATGTAATCATTTTGCCACCTTTTCCACAAATATTGCGTTACTTTAGTAGTGCGCTGCCAGCGCTTTAAAGAACTATCAGAAAAATCAGTGAAATCAGGCTCTGTTATTGATGTTAAAGGTCGCCCGACTAGAAAGTGTGCAGGTGTAAGAGCTTCTAAATCATTGGTGTCATTTGACAAAGGGGATATTGGACGTGAATTTAAAATTCCTTCAATCTAGTTCAAAATTGTAAGAAACTCCTCAAATGTAAAAATCAATCTCCCAACTGAACCCTTAAGATAAAACTTAAACGACTTAACACCTGCCTCCCAGATACCTCCAAAGTGAGGAGCCCTGGGAGGGATAAACTTCCAATGAATTCTTTCAGATGTCAGATATTTGGTTAAGAATTCATCAGGGTATTTCAACAAATCGTAGAGTCGCTTCAGTTCATGCTAGCCCCAACAAAATTTCGAGCGTTATTGCTAAATAAGGTTGCGCATTTACCCCTTCTAAAAATAAATTGCCTCAAAGCTGCAATAAATGATTCTGTAGACAAATTTGAAACGATCTCGAGGTGGACTGCATGAGTCAAGAGGCAAACAAAAATTGCAACATAAATCTTATGCACTACGCTCTTCTTCTGAGTTGTATACTTTATACAGTC